TCAGTGTTTAAGGGAAATCCCATGTTTGTCTCCACAGATCTGATGGGTTGTATTATTGTGTTACAACCCACCCCACACCTGTCAGCCACTGTTTAACTGTTTTAACGTTGTGCTTTGAAATTAGCTGAGGAAAAATGTATCATATTTTGCCTGAGAAGATACCTTTTTAACTTACATCAGTTTTTATGATTCTAGCTGTAATTATGTAGGAACCAAACAAAAATATACCTTTGGTCAAAAAATTTACTTTCTTACACTTCAACAGGGAACCAGACAACACTCTCTCCATCCCTGTTTGCTCTTTTTATCGACCCGCTTGCAGCAGCTATGAGTCAGAATAAAAAAAATAAAGGCATTCAGGATATCAACTCAGAACATAAAATAAGTTTATATGCAGATGATTTATTATTACACTTACAGAAACCTGTTGAATCACTTAAAGAAACATTTAAATCGTTACCAAATTCTCATTAATTTCCCATTATACAGTAAACCATATTATCACTGTCAGAGGATGTTTGGGATTGTGTACCCCATGGTTTCCTACCTACAATTCACACCGACAATATAGGCATTAACATTTCTGCCAGAGTTGTTTAATTTAAATTACATCCCATTAATCAGATACATTGAAGATGACCTAAAAGCTGGATTAAACCTCCGCTCACACTCACTGGATGAATCGCCACAGTCAAAGTGAAAATTCTACCCATGCAGGTTAATTATTTGTTTTCAATAATAAACTCCTTCCAAAAAATTGCTTTCAAACTTTGGATACACTCATAACACAGTTTTATTGGCAAAGTTAGAAAACCTAGAATATCACTTAAAACATTACAAAATAAAATATCACATGGCGGCTGAGTAGCTCCTAACTTTTTGTACTATTTTCTATCACAATGCACACTGGGGAACACAGATGATTATTTACATGACCTATGAACCTGTTCGATCTTTTTGGATTAAAATCACCCAAACACTACCCACACTATTTTCAATTACACAATCCCGCCTTCCCCATTACTTTGCTTGCTGGGAGATAAAGCTGAAACAACCCTCCATAAAACCCAATACTCATCTCTTTAACGATCACAAGAAAGTCATATTACAGAACTGGAAATAAAAAAAAATCTGTTCATATCACTCATTTACTTAACTCCATCTCTCAATATATTGTTATGAAAAGAAGAATTCCTCAACAAAACAATATATCAGCCTTTAATGAAGTCTGAAATAAATTTCTCAAACATCTCAATCCCCCTAAAGCCCAGTGACATACTCATGCCATCAACAAATTCAGAATACTTTCAGGAGACCGTATATTTATTTACTTATTTTTAATTAATTTTATGAATTTATATATATAATACTTATGCATGATCTTCTTATTGACGACCTTTTATTTATTTATATTACAGTTATGTATTTT